AAAAATCAATTTTACCCCTCTCTTTTCTCATTTAATTCTCTCTCACCTCCTTTGCTCGCTTATTTTCTTTTTCAACTTGTATAACCATTAAATACTTCTTAACTCCCTTAATTTAATTTTTTTTAAAACATTGGTGAGGATTCGTCTCTTTTTTGATATTATGATATATAAATTCTCCCAATTCCTCAACTCCTAATTTTGTAGCATAAACTCACATAAATGTTTGGGACAACTATTACACTAATTCATCTTTTTCTTCATCACAGTTCACATGATTATTTATGATTCCTCATGATTGTTTACTACAATTAATACGAATTAATGATACTTAAAAATTAAAAATTTTGATTTTAATTTCATATGTGAGGGGGAGGGGGAGAGTTTTGGGGAGATGTGGGGGTATTTTGGGGGATTTACCTCCTAAAAGTACAAATAAAATATTTTTTAGTTATGAATTATATTATTCAGGTTTAAAGATAAAAAGAGAAAGTTGATCGGATTTAAAGATACAAATGAAAATACTTATATTTAAAGTTTTAAACATAAATTAGGGGAAAACTTTGGGTCTAAAGACAACCCCCCAGCCCAAGGGAAAATTACTTCTAGGCCCCAAAATCCAACTTTCAATGTGCTCCAGCCCCTCATATTTTTTTAAATGTGTTGCAGCCTCTTGTTTTTGAAAAAATTGCGTCCAGGCCCCTCCATCATGATTCCAGCTCATGCCAACAGATGATTAGACATACCAGCTCATGATTAGACATGTCAGCTGGTTTAAATTCTAATTTTACCCTCCTCTTTCTCATGTCAGCGGATGTTAACTCTTAGGGCTAACATGTTAACTCTTAGGGCTAACATGTTAACTCTTAGGGTTAACATGTTAACTCTTACAGATAACATGTTAACCCTAAGAGTTAACATGTTAACTGTTAAGAGTTAACATGTTAACCGTAAAAGTTAACATGTTAACCCTAAGAGTTAACATGTTAATATAATAACCATGATCGCCGTCGGCCACACGAAGTTCCTCGGGACGACGCAGTGGCAGAGCGGGGGAGGCGACAGAGGGGGACCAGAGGAGGAGGAGGGAGGTGTAGGGGGAGGTGCAGCGGGGGAGGGAGGCGGGGGAGGGGAGGGAGGCCGGCGGGGGCAGAGGAGGAACAAAGGAGGAGGAGAGGGTGTGAGGGAGTGGTAAAATCGGGATTTTTGAAGATGTTGCATTGGAACTTGAGGAGAGGGGCCTGGACATAATTTTTTTTAAAAAAAGGGGCTGCAGCACATTGTTGAAAGTTGGGGGCGCTGTGACACATTGAAAGTTGGATTTTGGGGCCTAGAAGCAATTTTTCCTTTATTTTATTATTGTTTTTGGTTCAAAATAGATTCTGAATCAAGCAAACCCCAATTCATGGCATAAAATCTTCTATTAATTACCAATATTTCCTTAAAAAAATCTATTTATTTAGTAAACAATTTATAAGATTATTTTCTTCTTTTATTTTTCTCACTTCTTTTTATTTTTGTCTCTGTGTACCGCCAAGACGACCTTGGTTGTCCTTAGGATTAAAAGTAGCACTGTGGAGCCCGAGATAATAACAGGAGAAATTTTCAAAATAGCTCTATTTACAACTTCATTCACTATAATTGACTTATTTAAAACTTATTTACAAAAATCGATCATGTTTCGGCCACCTCAGTAGTGCGGATTGAAATAAGGTCGATTTTTGAAAAAATACTTATTTCTGATTAGTCAGGATTGTCAACCTTGACTAATTACAAACCTGGTTAATTATCTTTCAAAATAGTCGAGATTGACAACCATGACTATTTTGGATTGTAATTTCAGCTCTCACTGTTAACCCCTATAATTAGACTAGTGTCTATTTAGTCACGGTTGGTAATCCCAAATAAGTTCGAAATGCGCCGATTTTGATGAATAAAGTTGTAAATAGGTCTACTTTAAAATTTTGGTGACATGGCCGAATCCGGGTCAATTTTTAGAAATAAGTTCGAAATGTGCTGATTTTGATGAATAAAGTTTGTAAATGAGTCTACTTTAAAATTTTCTCCATAATAATGCATCAAAGGACCTGAAAATTTTATCAAGGGTTATTCACACTTAATGCCCCAAAGTTAATCTACACCATTTTAAACTATGATAGGCTAAAGTTTTTTTTGTTTCGCCTAGCAGATACCACAAAGTTCTAAAAAGAATTAACTTTGATATTCTCCTTAATTCATTTGAGGTTAGCAAAATTATAAGTAGTGCAAACTTTGGGATATTTCAATGCAAATAATTACCCTTACCAAAAATACAAACCAAATAATTACATAAAAGCGTACCTTCATTTTTTTACTTTGAGATATTTCAATGCAAAGAACTCCTTTTTTTTGCATTAGTTATAGACCAATTTATTAAGTATATTAAAAATGAAGTTCGTGGTTATTTACTGATGATATAATATTAGTTGACAAGACTAGAGAGAGTATAATATCTAAAGTAGAAAGTTGAAGGCAAGCTCTCAAAACTAAATGTTTTAGAATTAATTAAAAAAAGAATATATGGATAGAGAGAGGGTAGAGCAAGGGGATGATTGAATCAAACCCAAGGGGAGGGAAAGGGGAGAGAGTGAATGTGATGTAACTGCTTGTGTTTGGATAGACAACTAGAAAATGGAGAGAGAGAGAGCAACGAAACTAATTTGCGTTTGTTTAGAGTAGAAAATAAGAAGAGAAGGGAGCAATTCACTTAAAACTCAACCCCTCTCGCAATTTGTCCACTTTAGGATAGTTAAGAAAGTGTAAAAATTTGCTTCTTTTTAACCCTCCTCATCCTTCCCCTCACTTACTAAAAAAATATAAACAAAAACAATTTTAAGATAATTAGCNNNNCCCTCCCCTCTTAAAAAAAGCTATCCAAATCTATCATAAAAGTAACCACTTTCGTTATTTAAAAACAATCATTTGTCATAATGATGAGATTGAGGATGATGTTGTACATCGATTCAAATCCGGATGGTTAATATGGAGGAGTACTTTGGAAGTTTTATGTGATAATAGAATACCTATGACACTAAAGGAAAAATTTTATAGGACATTTATATGACCGACAATAATGATTTATGGGTTGGAATACCGGTCTGTTAAGAAATAACATGTGCAAAAAATGAGTGCAGCATGAATGAGAACGTTAAGATAGTCTTCTAGGTATACGCTAAAAAAAGGATAAAAAACGAGTGCATTCATAGTAAAATAGAGATTACTCCTATCGAGGATAAAATAAGAGAGAATGTACTAAGATGGTTTGGTCATGTACAATAAAGATATCCTAGTACACCGGTTAGAAAATGTGATAATATTATAGTTGATGGGACAAAGAGATCTAGAAGTAGACCTAAAAGAACTTGGTTGAGAGCAATTAAGAAAAATATAATAATGGTTACTTTAACGAAAGATATAAGTCATAATAAAATAATATGATTCATGTAACTGACCCTAATTATTTGGATAAAAAAACTCTGTAGTTGTTGTTGTAATACCAATATAGTAATTAGAAGAATATTGTCACCATATATATGACGCGTACTACTATTGTTTTCTTTATGGAATCTTTTGCTTTTCCCACGAGCTATCTCTTTAAACCTCGCCCAAAAGATTATATGGTTAGTAGATGATGCATATATTCTCACGTCTTTTTCTTGTGCACGCCGAAAGAGCCACGTGTCACTTTTAATGTTGCCCACCAGAGAGTCCAAAATATGTATAACAATCAAGCATAAAAATGATAAATATCGAATTATGAAGATATTACATATAGGATAATATATATGGTCATAGAAAGCAAATGGCTTAGTACCAGTTGGCTCTGTCCAATTCTCATTACAGGCTTGCATAATAATCTTATTGATAGTTTCCTTTTAAATGGTGTTAGAGATGTATTATTGTATAAATTTTTCCCTTTTTTCCTTTATTTTTTAGGTGTCATGCGAGGGTAAAAATGAATCCGTTCTTACAATGAAGTATCCTGAATCCCACAACAACATCGTGCTTTACTTTTTTTTTAAAAGGCAAAGCTGAAATAAAAGAAAAATAATTTAAGGACCCAAAATATGGGACCAAGGGAGGGGACATGTGAGGTGTCTCCTCCCTATTGCATAATGGGTTGGCCATGCCAACTCATGCCATCTCATTATGCAATAGGGAGAGGACATCTCACATGTCCCCTCCATTGGTCTCATATTTTGGGTCCCCGTAACAGCACTCGAAATAAAATTATCATTATAACAAATTAGGTGGGGGACAAGGGGCGAAATAAATCTCGGTAAACTCAACGCTAAACAAAAACGCCACGTCTCGTAACTTTCATTCTGTATAATTTGGTTGACACCGAAATTGAGATGTAGAGGAGGTGAATTATTGTGAGTCATCATGAGATACAAATCCAACGGCTAAGAATTATTGTGGGCCATCGTGATGATACAAATCCAACGGCTAATAAATAATTTAGGGGCTGTTTAGTTGTTGTTGGTAAAATTGTGTATTTATGACACAACTTGGAAAGTTGTTGTCCACCTTATCAATTTCACATGTATACTTTTCTTTGTTTGTTTTTTATTCCATTGGAATCATAAATTGCTTGTTTGGTTTGCAAATGTAACTTTAATTGTTTGTTTGGAAAGTGTAAAAAGTTGTCCCTACTTAAATGACCATATTGGTTGAAATTATTTTTTATTATTTTTTTCTGATTTCAATGTCAGCTTTCTCCTAAAATCATGTCTTTTTTATGAAATCAATTTACAAGCCACATCAGCATATGAAATCACTTTACACTATTTTCACAACTACAAACAAACAATTGAAAGCGATGAAAGCTGACATTGGGATCCACTTTTTTACACTTTTCATCCTTTTACATGGTAAAAACATACAACCAAACAGCCCCTTAACTCTATTATCTTTGCTAACTTTTCCAAACATGATTATTACGTTTTCCAAACATAATTTTGTAATCTTTATTACAAAAATTAGGGCTTTTGGTATTGGGAAAAGCCATGGCGGCTCCAGCAGCGTTGAGATCTAGTCCCTGCTCGTTCTGTCAGATCGCCAGATCTCCTGCTTCCACTCGTGTCCTCTACACTGTACGATCAATTTCCCTCTTTCAAAATTTTCATTTTGGTGGATCTTTTTATTGCTATTTTTAGTTTCTTTTTTTTATATTTATTTTCGCCCCTGTTTTGTGCAATTTAAGGATGATAGGGTCGTCGCATTTCCTGACATCAAGCCCGCCGCTTTCAGGTGATTGATTCGCTTATCTTGTCTGTGATTGGTTTTTTACATTGATTTTCTTGCAAAAAAAAGGTTGTTTTTTTTTTTGGAGTTTTGAGTTATTAATTGACCTGTTAGGGAAAAAAAGGATTATTTAAAGATGAATTTGGGTGATTCGTGTGCGAGAACTAGAGTTCGAGTTTATCATTTAGCATTTTTTTTTGATGGAGATATGGAATATGAATGAAATTATATTGAGCAGTAAACCCCCTCAATACTTACTTTGCCCACCTCCCTCAGTCCAGTCTGCAGTTGTGGCCTATGCCCATGCCTCCTAGATGAAGAATCGGCGGAACGAAGTAGTATTGCCTTTATTTACTGAAGCCCCCCTCTCCTTATGGTTTGACACAGCTTTCGATTCCTAACCGCAATACATAGGGAGAGACAACCCCTAGAGTTTGAGGAACGATCATACTCCAAAGCCTGGGCACACGTAGTATCAAAGCCGAGTCCCCTCACACATGCTTCAATAGTTTCGCTCTTCAATTCAGTAGTTGCCCAATGTGTTTTCGCCCACTAGGGGTGCGGTCAACCTTCGGTAGGTTACTGCATTTGCCGCCCATAGGTCGAATTCTACTTGTGGGTTTTTATTGGTTTGGCACCCTTGTTAGATGTAGGCTAAATTTCAGACACCCTTATCTTTGGACGACCACTAACTTTCCAAATATCAGGACACCCTTAAATTTAGAGCTTACAAGAAAAACACCTTCGATATTATGATTTTTCATAAAGCCCCGTTAACGGTGTTAAGTGCCATTTTCGCATGGGTGAGTATGAAAACTACTTGGGAATAATTTTTACCGGTGAAAATTGTGATTCACGCTTTTAGGGGAACCCCCCCTCCCTTTTAAATTTCTCATGACTTGTAAACTTAAGGGGTTTTTATGATATTTTGAAACTTGTGGGGGTTATCTGATAATCGTCCAAATTAAGCCATGGTTATATGTCCAGTTCTTTAGATCTTATTCCAAGTAATGTGGATTCTTAAAGTCGGTTTGGCAATTTGTAAGCTATACCAGAATAATGCTAGTCTAGCTATACTTGGGCCAGTTCATAAAACTAGTTCTAGTTTGAGTTTGATTCAATTTGGCTGCTTTTCGTTTTCCTTTCTTGCAATATTTTCGGACCAAATATGAAATCTGATCTATTTTTTGACCAAT